AATTCCAGCATCTGGGACAGCTCGGCCGTGCTGCGGCGCATCCGGGGGCCACTCCTCACTCAGGTACGAGGGGGCTTCACCCAGTGTGTCCCCCCACCCAGAACCCTGTGGTGGCAGGGTGGGTGGGATAAGATGTGCTTGGGAAGCGTTTCCAGCTCTGCCTGGGATAGTGGAGTGTCCAGCTTTCCTCGTGCTGGGTCCGGGTGGATGGGGTGTGGCTCGATGTAGACCCTCATAGTCATCACCTCTTGGAGGGATGGAGTGGGACGGGATGGGGTGTTGTGGCTGCTCTGGGATCCCTGGTGACATCTGAGGGATGTCAGGGCTCGTAGCAGAATTTGGGAATGTTGGTGCCTCGAGGCAAAGGATTTTTGTCTTGTGGTTTAATTAACAGTCAGGCTTTGAAGTGCTGCCTGACCAACCCTCTCCCAGCCCTGTCTCAGGCTGGGAAGTGACACAGAATTCCCACCACACACCCTGTCATCCCGAACGGGGCTATTGGGATCCCTGGGAGATCCCAGGAAAGCGCGATGGGACACGGAGAGCTGGCAGGAGGAGGGATGTGATGGGACACAGTACCCATGCCCCCTGTGCCAGTGTGTGATCCCGGGGGGTGTTCCCCTGGCAGGAGATGCCGTCGGTGTCCGTGCTGGATTACGCTCTGCCCCAGCGGCCTCCGCAGGCTCGGGAAGAGGAGCGGGACCCCTCGGAGCGGGCGCTGCCCCGGCGCTCCTCGTCCCCCATCATCGGGAGCCCCCCGGTGCGGGCCGTCCCCATCGGCACCCCCCCGAAACAGGCCGCCATCCCCAACTTCAACCAGCAGGTACCTCCCCGCTTCCCGTGGCTCCAGGGGGTGCAGGATGCTTTCCCAGGGAGTGACTGCCACTTCCCACTTCCCAGATTCTGTGTCCCAAGCCTGTCCACATCCGAGCTACCATGCAGCAGCGCTACCCCGCTCCCTATGGAGAGAGGATGTCCCCCAACCAGCTCTGCAACGTTCCGGTATCCAGCCCCTCCTCACCCTCTTTTTTTGGAGATTGACTTCCAGCTCCCCCCCCCCAAATCCCCCAACGCCTCATTCCTGTGGCTCATCTCTGCTCCCTGGAGCCCGGCCTGCCTGGCACACCTTCCTTGTCCCGTCTGTGACCGGGGTCCCTCTTCCCACGTCTTTCCCCAGAACTCCTCCCTCCTGGGCCACCCGTTCCCCCACAGCGTCTCTCCCGTCCTCACCCACCTACAGAGGGCCCAGCTGCTCGGAGGAGCCCAGGTAAAGCCCCTTCCCACGTTTCTCCAGCCCCTCCACGGGCGGAATCTCCAGGATTTGGCTCTCCGTGGCTCTCTTCCCTCCGAATTCTCCCCCGGCTGACTCCAGGCTCTCTCTCCCTGCCAGGCCGGCCGAATGTCCCCCAGCCAGTTTGCCCGGGTGTCCGGCCTGGTCGGGAGCCCCCTTCCCTCTGTGAATCCCAAGCTTCTCCAGGGCAGAGTCGGGCAGATGATGCCTCCGGCCGGAGGGTTCCGTGCCTTTTTCGGGGCTCCCCCCGCTCCGCCCCCCTCGCAGCTCCCGCACCCTCCGGGCCCCGGATCCCACCTGAGGTCGGTGCCGTCCCTTTCCTGGCCGCTTCCCGGCTCCCGGTGCCCATCCATGACTCTTCCTGCTCTTCCCAGGCCACAGATGTTCCGGCCGGACACGACCCACCTGCACCCGCAGCACCGGCGGCTCCTGCACCAGCGGCAGCAGCAGAGCCGGAAGTGAGTGCCGGGGGCTTGGATCGGGAGTGCCGGGCGCGGGGACGTGTCCTGCTTCCGGGGTCACCTGTCCCCCCCTCTCTGTCCCTTCCTGTAGCTCCGGTGTGCTCACGGGTGCCCTTCTTCTCCTGCCAGCCAGCACCGGAGCCTCAATGGCTCTGGAGGGGACCGAGGGGGCCACCGGAGCAGCCATCAGGAGCAGATCCATAAGGATCCCTATGCCAACCTCATGCTGCAGCGGGAAAAGGACTGGGTGTCCAAGATCCAGATGATGCAGCTGCAGAGCACTGATCCTTACCTGGATGACTATTACTACCAGGTACCTGGGAGCGGGAAGAATCCGGCTCGTTCGCAGCCTTAGGAAAATTGGGATCTTGCAGTGTGTCGGATCTGGGTGGGGGGGTGTCAGGAAGGTGGAGGAACAGTGTGGGATCAGCATCCACCTCCTCTTCTTGGGTGAGATTTTCAAGGATTTGGAGATGCTGGGGGACACTGGCAGCATGGATTTGGAGGTTTGGGATAACAGGAAAGCAACTCTTCTTTGTCAGAAGAAGAAGAGAGAGGATAAAACCCCTGGAATGGCAGACAGGGAAGGTGCTAAATGGAAATTCAGCAGAGATCCGTAGGCAGGGATTGGATGACTCTGGTCTGACTGGGAGTGCGGGTGATGAATCCTGCAGGGAGGTGAAGGTGGATAGGATTAGATTGCTCCTGCTTTTTCCTAGTTCAGGAATAGAGAATGCCAGACAGGGCTGGGAAAAGGCAGATTTGGAGCAGGTGGAGCAAAGTGGTGGATGAGGGACAGTTTGAGGGTCCACAGGGGGAGAGAGAAATCCACCTAGGATGGGCACCTGGAGTGGGAGACTGAATGGGGTGGGAGAGCTATACCCGATGGATCCGTCCCCTCTGGAGCTGGCAGAGGTTTTTTGGGATCTGTGGGTGAGCTGGTTCCCTGTAGAGGAGAGGAACTGGGGCAGGATGTGAGTCAGCAAAGCCCCGCTGTTGCAAAAGGGTCGGACGTTGGACGGGTTGGATGCGGTGGGGAGGCCCTGGCATGGTGCCAACGGAGCAAGGCAGGCAAACTGGGATGTGCTGGGAAGGACTGGGAGCCGGGAAACTCACAGGGAGAGCGGATCTGTCCTTGTACTGAGGAAGGGCTGAGGAGGAGCCTTGACCTCCGCCATCCCAAGGGATGAGAGAGGAAAACGCGCTTGGCTGTGCTTTAAATCACGGTGTTGAGAACACTGGGGAATGTGTAGCACAGGCTGGGAGGAGGGAGATGGATCGCTCCTGGCCTGGTTTTTGGGAGAGGATTCTCAACCTCTCCTCTCCCTGCCTCAGAATTACTTTCAGAAGCTGGAAAAGTTGGCAGCGGCCGAGGAAGTGCACGGGGATGGTCCCAAGAAGGAACGCACCAAACTCATCACCCCTCAGGTGGCCAAGCTGGAACACACATACAAACCAGGTAAAGCCCTCAGGCAGCCACGGGGGGCTCCCGTTATCCAGGGATACCGAGGTGGCTGATCCCAGGGCTTCCCTGCTCCCTCCTTCCTGCAGTGCAGTTCGAGGGCTCGCTGGGAAAACTCACCGTGTCCAGCGTCAACAACCCCCGGAAGATGATCGACGCTGTGGTGACGTCCCGCAGCGAGGACGACGTGAGTGCTGGGCCTTCCTCCCCTCTGGCACGTCCCCGGGGGTGCTTCCCACATCCCTGACTCCCTCTTCCCTCCCTGGCAGGAGACGAAGGAAAAGCAGGTGCGGGATAAGCGACGACAGACTCTCGTCACAATCGAGAAGGTGATTTTGGGGCGGGGGGATCGTCACAGCCAGGGATGGGATGAAGGGTCTCCATGATGGATGAACTCCAGGCAGCGGCTGAGGTCCTGCTTGGATCTCTGTGGAGCAGAGATCCCATAGGTTTCCTGTCTACAGGGCAAGGGAGAGCGATGGACAACAGGGAATGGCTTTAAATTGACTGAGTGTGGGTTAAGTGGGAAGAAATTCTTCCTTGTGAGGGTGGGTTAAATGGGACATTGGGAAGAAATTCTTCCCTGTGATGGCAGTGAGGCCCTGGAATGGATTTCCCAGGGAAACTGTGGCTTCCCCATCCCTGGAAGCGCCCAAGGCCAGCTTGGAGCTACCCGGTCTAGTGGAAGGTGTCCCAGCTGGAGCCAGATAACCATTACGGTCCCTTCCGAGCCGAACCTTTCTATGATTCCATGGGTGATCCCTGCTCCTTGCAGACATACAGCCTCCTCCTGGACGTGGAGGACTACGAACGCCGGTACCTCCTGAGCCTGGAAGGGGAAAGGCCGGCCCTGATGGGAGAGAGGAAGCAGAAGATCTGCGACATGTACGACAATCTGAGGGGGAAAGCGCCTGGCCAGGACAGGTGAGTGGGATTTCAGGAGCTCCCACACTCCCTGACCACTCACAGCCACTCAAACCAGCTTTTATGGATCTCTTTGACTATTCCAGTGGCCAAAATAACCTATTTTTTGGGGTGTTTTTCCTTTTTTTTTTTACTGGTTTCCCCTCTCTGTGGTTACAAAGCCTCAACTTCTGTTCCCTTACATGAGGGCTAGGAATGTTGTTCCTGCATTGTTTTTCCCTCCTCAGGAATGGTTTTTTGCGGCGGGGGGGTTTCCCACCTGGTCCAGCCGTGGGATAACCCTGGGATGCTCCCGGGGAGGGTTTGGCACCTTTCTCCTCCCCTTCCTCAGGCCGAGTGACGACCACTTCATGCAGATCATGTGCATCCGGAAAGGAAAGCGCCTCGTGGCCCGGATTCTCCCATTCCTGGCCCCAGAGCAAGCGGCCGACGTGCTCATGGCCACGGCCAGGAACCTGCCCTTCCTCATCAAGAAGGATGCTCAGGATGAGGTGAGATTCCAGAGGCTGGGAGATGCTCTGTGAGGGGGCGGTTTGGAGCTGGATCTCCTTGGCCCTGCCTGGCAGGTGGGATATGACATCGTTGGTGGCTCCTGCCTCTCCTGCGAGAGTGCCAGAGGGGCTCGGGGAGCCCAGGAATCTGGGAAATAAATCATAGGATCATGAAATGTTTTGGGTTGGAAGGGACCTTAAAGCTCATCCAGTTCCAACACGACACCTTCCACTAGACCAGGTTGCTCCAGCCTGGCCTTGGACACTTCCAGGGATGGGGCAGCTTCTCTGGGAAATCCGTTCCAGTGCCTCACCACCCTCACAGGGAAGAATTTCTTCCCAATATCCACCTAAGCCAGCACATGGAATCCTGGAATGGTTTGGGATGGGACTTAAAGATCACTCAGTGGGCAGGGACACCTTCCACTAGCCCAGGTTGCTCCAAACCTTGTCCAGCCTGGCCTTGGACAGCCTGGAAATCTGAGGAACAGGATGATTTAAGAAGGAAAAAGCATTGCCTGAGGATAAAGCTGTGAGGGGAATTGCTCACAGCAGTTCCAGCTGGAAGCATGTGGAGCTCCCAACTCTCCTCCTTTCTCCACAGGTGCTTCCCTGCCTGTTGAGGCCCTTTTCCCACGTCCTCTACCACCTTCCCTTGGGAACAGTCACCAGCCTTGTGCAGCAGCTCATGAACCTACCTCAGAGCGCCGCCGCTCCCACCAACCTGCACCTCACTGCTGTGCTCCAAAACAAGGTACTCCTCATCCCCTGGGATCACTTCCTGCCCTTGGGAATTCCCAAGCAGCCTCCCAAAGCCGGGTGCAGTTCCTGGTGTTCTCTCCTTGCTAATTAAGGAGAGTGTCTGGCAGATTAATTAACGGTCTGAGGTGGCCCCGGGTGGCTTCCGGACCTGTCCTTCTGGGCTGCAGAGTCCTGGCCTGGAATTTGGGGTGGGAATGCTGCTCCAACAGTGTGGGAGATGTCACTCCTGGGCTGGGAGTGGTTCATGGTCTTGCCTCATGGATTCAGGCCCCAAACAGCCTCCTCCTCCTCCCAGCCAGGGATCCTCCTGCTTGTCCCAGCATTCCCAGCATTGGGAATTGGAGGGGATGCTCGGAGGGGGCTCCCTGACCCCTGTCTGTGTCCCCACAGTTCGGTCTGTCCCTGCTGTACTTGGTCCTGAGCCGGGGGGAGGAATTGCAGAGCTCGGACACGAACACGGAGCTGATCCAGGACAACCAGTGGTGAGTCCCTGTTCTCCACTGTCCCCACATTCCCAATCCCTCGGGGAGGACAAGCTGGCCTCTAAGCTGCCAAAATCCTTCCCTGAGGGGAGCTGAGAGGTTCCTGGCTTCCCCCAGCACATCCCACAGCTCTCACTGCTCCCTTCTCCCGCGGTTTTTTCTGGCAGGACGGAGCTGATGCTGATGGCCACCCGGGAGCTCCTGCGGATCCCTCAGGGAGCCTTGGCCAAGCCCGTGTCCATCCCCTCCAACCTGATCTCCCTCTTCTCTCGCTACGTCGACCAGCAGAAGCTGAACTTGCTGGAGACCAAATTGCAGTGAGTGTCCAGCCCCCTTTTCCCGTGGGAATGCGGCCAGAAGAGGGAGAGCCAGAGGCTGGGGGTGGGAAAAGCCCTGAGGGAGGAGCAGCATGGGGATCTCTGATCCCACACTGTTGTTCCCCCATTCCAGCTTAGTGCACGGGATCCGGTAGATCTCCGTGGCTCCTCACCGCCACCGGAATGTTCCAGAGGAAGGCTGGAAGGAAGGATGGATAAATGGATAGATGGATGGAGGGCACACGGTTCACCCTGCACCCCCCAACGCCCGGCCTGGCACGAGGGGCACATCCTGCCCCCCCAAATTCCTGGATGAGTGGGAAAAGGGGGATGTTTGGCTGCTCCCCTCTTTTCCCACCAAGCGCTGCCTTTCCCTGCCACTCCCAAATTCCCACTGAGTCCCTCTGCACCCCCAAGCTGCTGCTTCTCCCCCGAACTCTCACACTACTGAGGATCCCGGAAAGGGGGAGCCCCTCGCTCTGTATCCTTGGGATGCCAGGGGTTCCCCCTTCCTTCCCTGCTCCTTCTCCAGCCCTTCCCAATCCCGCTCCCGGCCTTTCCCAGTGTGATCACACGTCACACACCTGTTTTGCACACTTGCTGCGTCTTCCCAAAATTCAGCTCCTTCCCTCACCCCCGGGATCAGCCCCAGCAGCTCCAGGGATGGCTCAGCCAGGCCTTTGTCCCCTTCGCAATCCGGGTGGATCCAGCTGCTCCTCGGGAAGGTGGTGGTGGTGGTTGGGGGATAATTTTACCTTTTTTTTTTTTTTTTGCTTTTAAAAAAAAAAAAAAAAAAAACAAACCAAGAGATTTGCACATGTAGGGATTTTACACCAGGAATTCCTCCCGGCATTAACCAGCCCCCCCTCCCCGCTGCTCCCAGCCCTTTCCCCCTCATTTTCCTCTGACAGATCAAGTGGAAAGTTCATTTATTATTATTATTATTTTATTATTTGCCTTTTTTTTT